GTGCGGAGCGCGCAGGGGGCGGGAAGGGGCTGAGGGGTAACGGCTGCCCTGAGGCGTGGAGGGGCCGGGCAGCGCTGGGGAAGGAAGGGCTGGGCGGCCGGCCGGCCGGCCGGGGGAGATGAACGGTGCTCGTCGCGGAGAGCCGTGGGTGTGAGGGGAAAGGAGGTCACGTCTGCCTCGGCGAGGCCAGATGCGTGTTTGTAAACGCCCTCTCCTGGAGCTGGGTCGTTACACAAGGATCTGCGCGCGTTGCTGTTCTGGATGCCTTTTCTAGTCTCCGGATTTCCACAGAAGAGACTCTAGATGAGATTCAGATGTACGCTAAAGACACAGGAAACAAACGGCAGAGAAAGGGCTTAAGACTGAATTACGTCTTAACTTTTTTAACTCGATGTCTGAGGGTCCTGATGTCCAAAAATCCTTTAGGTGCTTTTTATCAGATGGAGGAATAAGTGTTGCTGTACTAATGGCTGAAGAAAGTTAAGTAGCTGATACTGAAAATGTAACAAAAACACGAGCTTTAAATCAGACAGAGCCAAGAGCTCTTTTTACCTGGGCTGTCTGTTCCATAAGTGACAGGAACTAGCAGTGACCTGCCTGACCTGCTGATGCAGACCTATCTATCCGTGGAGGCTGAAGGCAGCTTTGCATCCATTACAGAGGTCTGCACACGATGATCGGGGCAGGTAACGGATGCAAATCCTGCCCCCGATCCTGCCAGCAGTTGAGCTATAATTAAAAAACACTGGTTTGTTGGGTTTTTTTAAATGTTGCTGTATATGGGCTGGTGCTGTAAACAGGCCTCTATCTCTGCGTGGGGTCACAGGGAAGCCAGTGGACTTTTTTATATTCATGAAACTTTCAGTAACGTGAAGAGACTGAGAGAGAAGCCAGGGTGGAGGGCAGATGAGGGAGCACGGAGTGAAAGCTAATCTGGGGCCAGGGCAAGCACTTCCACGGGAGAGCAGGGAGTCCCCAGACCCCACGTCCTGCTGTCAGCAGGCAGCTGCAAAACCTGCCAGCAAACAGCAATTCTCTTCTCTCCTGATTAGAAAAAGCACTAGATGAATGACAACATCCCTGGTTCTGCTATTTACTCTGATAATCTTTTTACCTTCTGCAATAAGTATGTCCCTGAGAAATTTACACTTATTTAAAAAAAAAAAAGACAAGAAACTCATTCGTCAGTGATTCTTTGAATTGTGGTTTAAATAAGTGATTCAGCATTATGAGATTTGTGATAAAGCAATGAGATTTGGCAACCCTGAGAAGACGACAACTCTGCCAACAGGAGTAATTTAAAATTCATTTACAATATACAACAACCCTCAGTGTTCTGATTGTAGATAGTTTGGGAATTCTCTTTAAACTGCATAGTAGATAAAATCTCATCAAATAGTTCTGCCCTTTAAATAACTTCTGCTTGCTTTTTTTTCCCCCAGTATTTCCCTGATTTTGTTCAGGGAAAGATGTAATCAGTGATGCTGTCTAGTTGTGCATCCAGTTCACTGATTTGTTAGTGTCTGATGGGTGCATAAACAGAAAGAAATAGCAACTTCAAAAACAAAGCAATCCTTCTGCTAAATCATTTTCTTCCTCATATTCATTTTGATATCTGAATTATTTGGACCTGAAGTACTTCTGATATATTTCAGGGCCATAATACTAGTTTCACTAGAGCTAAAAGCTTGGGGCGTTAAGAGGACACCCAAACTTGACAGGCCAAGGAATGAACATCAGTTATAGGAGGTTCCTGTAGGTTGATCTTTCCCTCTCCTTGTGTCCAGGAGCCTGCTCCCCCTCTTCCTTTTGACAGCAGTACTACTCCCACCCAACCAGGCCAATGCCGCCAAGTCTTTCACTGGAGCAGCCACCCTTCTCTCCCCACTTTTCAAACTGCCGTCCCTCTTCCAGGCAACATGGACATCTATCTGCTTTCCACTGTCCAGTCCTAGCCCTCTCCTTGCTCTGGGGATGCAGCAGTGGCTGGGAAGTGCAGGTTCATAGGCAGAGACTTACTTGTGCTCCTGCCTCTATGTGGGAGGACAGAGTGAGACCAGAGGCATCAGGGAATGCCTGCCTGTGCCAAGACACAGAAAGTCATTCAGACCATGTCAGAGGGGCCGTCTCTTTCAGGACAAAGGGAAAGGCTGGGTGAAATGGGCTCGCACCCCAAACTTGCCCCGTGGGCTCATTGCATTAAGACTGAGTGGATAATTTGCTGAATAGACTTCTGAAACCCTTGCCCGTACAGAACAACAGAGCCTCTGTTTCCCCAGTGTTGGTTCCTCTGTTTCCTCAGTTCTTCAGTGCTTTTGGCCTTCTTTCCCCTAAGTAAACTTTTTTCATAGTTGTGTTGGTTTTGAGCCAGATCTGCTTCTTTAAAGCTCATGCCCCTCCTGAATAAGTAAGCAGTGTCACAGATTTTTTTCAGTAGTCTAAGAACATTTTAGGTTGTGTGGCCATGAATGTATCCTTCCATCCACAGTGAGACTGTTAGACATTTCAGAGCTCTTTCATTTCAGATTGTCTTTTCAATGGCATACGGAATGTATTATTCAGAACCTGTTAGCACAAGCAAAAATAGCTTATTTTATCCTGTTCAGTTGAATCTTGTTTCTTCCAGAATGGGTCTTTAAGTGATGATCTGCAGGGCAAACTGATTCCTGTAGACAGATCCATGAGCAGCTCAGCTGATCTAATAGTTCGCCAACGCTGAGAAGCTGAGATGTTGCTGACTCCTCATCTCCCAACTGCAGATTTTCACCCTCCCTTAGCTCCTCCTTGGTGTTTGCCATATGCTTCCATGAGCCACTTCAACTCAGTAACAAGACTGAGGAACATTTAATTTGGGAGGGGGTGTTCATTTCCTTCTGGGTTAGTGAGTGAAACCTAACCTCATCGTATGGAACCATGCCTTCAGAGCGTGGTTTTATGCTACAACTAATTTAGTATGACTAATGCTAATGCTGAAAAGTTCAGTCTTCTCCATCTCTCTCCAGCCATGTGTTCCGTCTCGCTCCCCCTTACATGAGGTCCAGTGACTGTGAGACTGCAGGATGAATCAGGTGAGCAAACGAGTTTTTCTGGTGGATTTGTTTTCTGTCCGATGAGCTTGTTGAAGCAGTTGACTTCAGGGCTAGCCATTGCTAGGTCACTAGACACAAGGGAATACGTGGCCAGGGGAGGGAATGAGGGATGCTACACTTATTCCTAGTTAAGTGAAATTCAGGCCTAGGATTCTTCTGGTGCAAAGCCTTTTCTTCCAATGTACTATTGTGATTTCTTAATTCCTGGTGTTCCTACTTTACTTGTCATGAACTAGAGGATCACTTTGGAACTTGGAAGTTGAGCTGTAGAGAACCTCATCTAAGAAATCCAAAGCAGATAAGTGTTTCAGTTTCAGTCTGTATCTTTTCCAGGCTACAGTGCTTTTCAGCGGTCTTCTTATTTAT